CATCGACTGTTTTTCACTATCGGGGGAAAGAATCTTTATGGAGCGAGTTTTTTCTTACTGGATAAAATATTTACCAGTGCTGCCTGGCTTGACTGACTCGGTGGCACTAATTCGACCATGGCACAAGTACAAAACAATTTTAGATTCTAGTACCACTAATCAACAGAAAAGCCTATTAATACGTCGATATCGGCATATTTTTTCTCTTTCCACGGAATTTTTGCTATCCTGCCGTCATTCCTTTAATTTCTTTCGACGGTGCTTTCGGACTATAAAACCCGAATTACAAATTTTTTTCTGCTATCCCGAGGCATTTTTCGATTTCTGAACAGCGTCTCAACGTTAGCTTGCAGTTTATTGTCCTCTTTCGCCTTTTTTTGTCGTTAATCTATGTTGAATATATCGCGACTCGATCAGCTTAGATATTGAGATGTCTTTAATTCGCAAATAAACAAACATATATTTGAAGTTAGGAACTCAGAAATTCATGTGCCCATATACGTGTATATATACGAAGTTGGGAACTCAGGAACTCAGAAATTCACATGCTCATATACGTGTGTATATATATTTGAACTCAGGAACTCAGAAATTCATATGCCCATATATGTGTATATATAAGAACTCAGGAACTCAAGAAATCCCAAATTCATATGCTCATATCCGTGTGTATATATATATGAACTCAGGAACTCAGAAATTCCTTTGCTCATATATGTGTGTATATATATCTGAATTTCTAAATTCAGTGCATCTGATGAATTAAAAAAAGGTTCTGTTCTATCGGTAGGAATGAAAAATAACAAAGATAAATACAAGTTTCATTAAATCATCAAAACTAAGAATAGACAAGATCTCAAACACTAAGTTCGTATATAATGCAGTATTTTCAGTTGTTAATTTATCGCTGAAATTTAATGACAAAAAGCGGATCGCCAGCATTGATTAATTGATTCAATTTTATGAAAATATGATTTAATATTCCATCACAATCAGCTTTAATTGTAATATCCGTTTTCATCGCTTGAATAGTGCAAAGAATTGTTCGATCCGAAACAACTTGGTCCTCAATCTGCACAGCTATGGATTGAATAACACCACCAACTATGGCATAAAAAGTTTTCTGATTATCATCTGATTGTGGTATTAGTTGTTGTGAACCATCTGACGATTGATCAAAATTATTCTTGTGCCGATCAGAATCGACTTCTTCTAATAATTGAGTTTCTTTTTCATAGATATCTTCCCGTGCAAGATGTTGTTTTTCTTTAAAAGCTTGTAAATCAGCATCATTGGAATCGTTCAATTCTTTGAAATGATTTAGACTTAATGTACACTCAGTTATTTGGTATTGATATTTTCCAGCAAATGCTAAACGACGGAGATTTTCTAGTTCTTCTTCAGTAACAGATTGAAATTGAATAATATCAAACATATTTAATAACCAAGGTTGACCATTGGTGAAAGGATGACCGATTGTACCAAATGTTGACCAAGTTGGTATCGTTCTTCCAAATAGTTGATAACCACCTGGACTTTCAATAGGATAAATAGCCATATAATTCCCACCAAGGCCACACGATCCATCAGGCGTATAAGTTCTCGACGGATTATATTTTGGTACAGATAATCGATGTTTCGGATTTAATGGAATAGCAAATGGACAACCAAGATAAAATCCAATTCCAATCACTAACCATTCTGCTTCTAATAGAATATTTGATACTTGGTCAATATCATTTTCTCCAGTAATGCCGTTATTATTTGCAATGAATTTCAAATTATCTGGTAGATAAGTTGCTTTCGAGCGAATTGTTTCCATATAATGTTTTACAGCATCCTTATTCCAATGATCATTGATTGCTATCGGTAGAGATATTTTTCGACAGGGTAAATTTATAGTATCATCAAATGATAATGATTTTTCCACTGTCTGTAAATATTCGACTAAAGTATTTTGTGATAAACGAATAGGATCGTAACGTATTAATAATGATCTAATCGCTGTTGCACCATCAATAAGACCATTTAAGATTGGTTTTGTTTTCATTGTTGTTAAATCTGTAATAAGTCCAAGATATTCTTGTAATTGATGTATACGCATACGTAATATTAAATTAACAGGAGATTTCGAATCTCCATACTCAATCAATAAATAAGATTCACCTGCTTGACGATATTGTATTAATAAATCGCGATGCTTATATTCTAGTAATAATGATGAGTTATTTGCTATATTATATTCATCATCTACATGGAATTTATTATCTAATAATGTATCGTTGATTTTATTAAAATATGTTGGTTTATGTATAGTCATAGGGTGGTAATCTAATCGTTTTTGAACATAATTTAGATAATCTTGGATGAGTTTGTTGTGTTGAAGCGCTTGATCTATAGTAATGGGTTTGAATGTTAAAGTATCACC